CTGACAGGTTTCCGGGAAGTCCAAGAGCTGGCAATGGCCATGTATCTGAAGGTCCCCAGGTTAAAAAAAATTGATAAGAGAAGTAGAGAATATGATTCTGTATAGCATCCAAGAAGCCCAAACTTGAACACATTACAGGTTCAGGGTAGCTTTGAGAAACTTGTGCTAAAATTTTGATAAGGGAAATTCATCTTGGGGTGCACCGAGTCCTTTTTTCCATTCTAAATTAGTTGCACATCATGAAATGTTTTCTTCAATATTTACAGAAATTTTTTGCTTCCATTACTACAATGGCTCTGGGTTTTGTTTTGTTTTCTGGTAGATGTTAGTTCTGGAGAAAAGAGTTGCAGAAATGAATAGGTATTTAATAAATCTTTATTATGGCCCTAGAACAGTATAATGAGGGTGGGTATAGACCATTTAAAAACATAGTAGATACATGAGAGTCTAAAATTTTTTGAAAAGCTGGAAGATGTGTAGGTATTAAAATAGAAAGTATATATTCAAAACCAAGAGGCTGAAAGAATCTTAAAGAAGGGGTAAGAGCATTAGATGGGTATAGGAGAATATCAAGGTTAGTATGTGGAAGAGTATATCAAATTACAGAGCACTTTAATGTAGCAAACAAGGGGCTCATTAAGTCTAGTTTATGCCAAAGGTCATCATCCTCCAACAAATTTTGAGCACTGCTGCGCAGGACCTGGCAATATTTTATGTTGTAGCATGGTTGATATCTGAAAGCAGCAGGAAAGTGTAAAATGATCCAGTGTGCCCTGGGTATTTATGCAGTAATGATGAGATGAGGCTAGTACAAATGTATTTGCGAGATTTAGAAGCCGTCCATCTCCAGAATTACTCTGGGCAGCTTACCCTGAAAAAAAAAAGAAAAATATTTTTTAAAAACCTTTATGTCTGGACAGACTAAATAGCAGCCAGTCTCTAACCACCTTACTCCAAGCCTAAATAAACCTCTAGGGAGATATAACTCCACAGAGCACAGAGCAGGCATTACAGCAGGGAAGACATGCTTGCCAGGTCTTGATGAGATGGTATTGCTTGGTTGAGGAGACCCATGTTTCCTTGATTGAATCAGAGAGGGAGAATTCATTGGAGCTTGGCAAATCACCTGGCCCTATTCTATAATAAGTAGTTTAAAGATAGAAGGTTGCTCTGTGAGTCAACCAGTCGGTGGTGTCAAACAGCAGTTGGCTCTCCAGTTAGCAGCCTAACCATGTTCAAAAGACTGAGGTGGATTTCATTCCAGTGGCCCTTGATGTAGAACTTTTTAAATAGCAATAGCATTTAGACTTGTATACCACTTCATAGTGCTTTACACCATCTCTAAGCAGTTTACAGAGTCAGCATATTGCCCCTAACAACCTGGGTCCTCATTTTACCAACCTCAGAAAGATAGAAGGCTGAGTCAACCTTGAGCTGGTGAGAATCGAACTGCTGGCAGTCCGCAAAATTAGCCTGCAATACTGCGTTCTAACCACTCTGCCACCATATTAGCTATATGCTGCTATTCTGCTTTCTCGGTTTTATCTAAAGTATTTTGAACCCCTCAAAACATCCATACCCTCCAGCTTATATGTTAAACTACCCAGAGTCAACTCCATAGTGAGTCAGATAGCATATAAACTTAATAATTATACAGTATGATCAAATAAATAAATAAATACAGCTAAACATTACTGCAAATGCATTTTTTTAAAATCACATTTACATGGATGCCCATCACACAAAGAGCAACTCTGGGCAGTATACAAGAATCATTGAAAATTTTACAAATTATAACGGTGTTAAAAATAATTACTAAAAAAACCACAAAAACCGCACACCACACAGAGCTAATAAATCAGCCAATACCTAGACTTCACCCAAAAAAAAGTTTTTAAAGCCACTTGAAGGATTAGTGGTGTATGTGAGTAAAGAGTAGAGTTTTAAAATAGATTTTTGGGGATAAAAATTGAATTGAAATAAAAGCAAATCAAATGAATTAACCCTAGTTATGAATAAAGACAAATATACATGTCCCAGGATAATGTTGCAGGATCCAATCTGTGTCAGTCACTGGGACCAGAGGTATTTTGTCTTCTGAGCTTTTGAACTTGTGATGGAGCCCATCTTCAGGGAACTTTTCTCTAGCAAAGTGTATTTATATGGGTACCCACAATCATTTGTTACAAGATGCTTGCAACAGGGGGGGCAGAGAAAGGAAGAAACAAGGTACAAGACGAACCACATGGCACAATACTTCAAAAACATTTCAGAAGCTATAGAACACAGCTTCTGAGATCTGCAAGTAGGCATCTCACACCACCCAGAGATTATCATACAAAGACAAATTATGCATTGTAAAGATCACTTGTAGGTGGGAAATACTTCCAATGTAATCTACCGAATCCTCTGCATGGATTGCTCCTGTGACTATGTAGGGCAGATGGGGAGAAAGCTAACCACCAGATTGCAAGAACACAAGTGTGCGATAAAACAAGGAGATCCAAACTTGTTGGTAGCCTCACACTGCAATGACCAAGGACATACATTCAATTTTGCAGCTATTAAGGTTGTTGGACGAGCAGGCACAAAAACAGCCAGGGAGGTGATTGAAGCCTGGGAAATGGGCAGTGCTGATTTATCACCATCTTATCAAGCAGTGGTGGGTTGCTACCAGTTTACCCCGGATCGGATGAACCGGTAGCGGCGCCAGGAGGCTCCGCCCACCCACCCGGACACTTCTGTGCATGTGCAGAAGTGATGCCTGTGTGGGCACGGGCGCGCGAGCACCCACAAGCAAACCGGTAGCGACAGGTTTTGAAACCCACCCCTGTTATCAAGCACTTAGAAGGTGAGGGCTTAGCACAAGCCAACGACTTAACAGCCAGCCATCAACACCCCAATCTAAAAAGTCACATACAACAGGCATCATATAAATATCACACATAGACCAGCACACACACTGCTAGAGAGAAGTTCCCTGAAGGTGGGTTCTAACATGAGTCCAAAAGCTCAGAAGACAAAGCCTCTAGTCCCGGTGACAGACCCAGATTAGATCCTAAACCTAGTTATAATGTGTGTTGGCTCATATTTTTAAAAATGTGAAAAATTGTACCTCCATTTGAATTTCAGGCAGATAATCTGAAGGGACACAAAAAAGGGCCTAGGGAGCTATGCTTGCAATTGTAGGTTGCCTATTCTTGGTCAAATGTTGAGTCCTACAATTCTGGATGAAGTCCTGCAATTTTGCTTGTTCTCACTACGAATCTAGAAGGATAAGCAGATGCAAGGAATCTGGCTATCACCTTCAGATTCAGTGAAAACTACAAACCAAATGGGGTGCTTCAGAGGTGTTGAATATGATATGCAAAAAGAAAAAGAAAAACCCCAAATAGCAAGGGAAACATAGCCTTTTGGGGTTGGTCTATACATGTTACACTTGAATACCAGGCTTATTCCAAAGTAAACTGCTGACCAGACTAAATGTTTCTTCTGGATGCACAACATTTGTCTCCAGTTAGCTAAATACACTTTATTATGCTTCCATAATAAATGTGTAGTTAAATGAGAATTGAAATATTTATCCCTATTCCCACCTCTGTGTGTGTGTGTGTGTGCGTTTGTTTGTGTGTGTGTGTGTGTGTGTGTGTGTGTCTGTCTGTCTGTCTGTCTTCTGGACAATTCTACACTGTAAAATAAACCTGTCATCGCTTTTAACCAAGAGTAATGCTTTTTGATTACATTTAAGAAACATAATTATCAATTGTTTGCTTTTCTGAAATGAGGATAATTTGTTCCTTCAAAATTTAAACAGACCCAATCTTATGTATGCATTAATCAGCTGTCTCTTTCTATTTCTATCATATTCATTTTTTTGTTTCTTCTTTTCCATTTTTGAATTGGTTCCACGTGAAATTCATATACAATTCATCCATATTCCCATGTGCATAGCTTGAACGTGAAGCTTCATATAGCATATGCTGTTTTTTCTAAAATAGCAGTAGCACTTAGACTTACATTCCGCTTCACATTGTTTTACAGACCTCTCTTAAGACATTTACAAAGTCAGCATATTGCCCCCAACAATCTGAGTCCTCATTTTACTGAGCTCGGAAGGATGAAAGGCTGAGTCAACCTCAGTCAAAATCGTATTTTTGTCTTTATTTTCCCTTAACATATGCTTTTTTGTATGTAATTTCTATACAGAATTTTGTATATTTGCACTCATTTTCTACATTGTAGAACTGCCCTGCAAAACTCCAAGAACTGTAACAATCAAAAGATAATTGTATGAGTTCATATATTAATTTGGACATGGAAGTTAGCTTACACTAAAATATAAATAAAATGAGCAAAACTAAAAGGACAAATTATAGTGTGTGATAAGTCCACTTGTCATGTTCTTGTGTTATTAATGACTTTTCCTGCTTGCACTATCTAATTTAGGGTAAAGACAGAGGCTTCTTTTAGTGCTAACAAAGAGCTAATAAAAAAAGAGCACTTTTCTCAGAAGCCTCTGTGGGCCACAGTTCTGCAAAGTGGTTAAGCTAATCTTTAATTAATAGTATACATCCCAGCATTTAGAGGAATGACTTGTTAATTATTTGGTAAGCGTCAAAGACTCACACACCTAGATTGAGGTTATTTTAATTGTTATAATTTTTGCTATTGCTACTTTGCAACGTGGATAAATCACTATGAGTTTTGGACGCAGAAGGTGTCCCCAAGCAATCAGTGAGGAGGCAGCGGAATCAGCCATTTCTGTACCATATGAAATAATATGAGAATGTCAGTATTGCAAAGAATTGCAAATAAGCTTCCTATCATGCATATTTTTTGGTTTATAAATCATAGCTTTGCCATTTAAAGACTACTTTGCATGAAATGCAAAAGTAGTATTGCTTTGTTATTTCTTCCCCTTCCTCCTCCTCCTCCTCTTCCTCCTCCTCCTCCCGTCCTCTCTTAGCAATGCATTTACAGACAGATCTTCTTGTTCACAGAAAATGCAAACAAGCTGGAAGAAAGTGCCAGGGGAATCTACATTCCGTGTCCAGAACACTATAACGGTTTCTGCGTGCATGGAAAATGTGAGCATTCTGCTAATATGCTGGAGCCATCTTGCAGGTAACTTTTTCTTCAAACTGATCACCTAAATAGGAATACCTGGTAAAAAGAAATGTGTTTTTTTCAATGCATTTTTTTTAAAAAAAAAAAACAATAATTGCTGAACCCTCATCTACTCTAGATCTAAATTATGTACAGAGATACCTAATGTATGTAGCCAAGCTGCACTGAATTATGCAGCAGCATTAATCTGTTTATAAAAGCATTCCTGCAATGTCTGTCAATACATTCCTAACTAAAAAGGCATAACAGAGCATAGGCTGGCCCAGTGGGTATTTGTTGTTGATTTTTAGCACATGGCCAACAGCTTTTGTCCCAAGAAATCCCACAGTGAGCAAATGTCAAGAACTATGTCAACATCAATTTCTCCATGTGGGAAAATGGCTGAAGACAGAAGATTTGCACTGATGAGGGTTGAAATAAGGTTAGTTTCAGAAAGGAGCACTGCACTGCACGTAATGGAGTTTAAGTCAGTCTTGTCTTCTCTCACTTAATAGCAAAGTTTGAGGGCAAGCAGGAAGGTAGTTTGTTGGATTTCCAGCCCCCTAAACTGTCAGATTTAGGACCTTGGAGCCCCTCAGAGGAACTCCAAGGTATAGAAAAAAATAAATTGTTGAGAAATATAGGAAGTGCCTTTTGGGCAAGGAATATCCAAGGAAATCCAAATTAACTGCTTGAATGAAAACAGGCAGCATATGGACAATCCTTCAGACAACTCAAAGAGGTTGGACTGGGGTCCTGCTTTTCAGCAAATGTTCCTGTAATGCATCATAGACATAGAAATATTGGAAATTTGCTATAGATAAGAAATATCTGCTATTGCTCTCTGTGATGCCTCTCTGATGGATGTTGATATCATGGGTAGCAGCTACTTTCTGCCTCTTCTTTGCTTCACCGGAGTATTCAGAAATATATCAGTTGTGTATTAGTTCCTTCTCCTGGCATGCCACCTCAGGTCTCCCCAGCTTTTCCCATCTTAAATGATGAGATATAACTGCTGTGGGCTCAAATAAATTAATGCTTCCATGCCCAGCTTGCGAGCTTATCCTAGGCTTCTTGTAGGCCAGTTGTAGAACACAATCCTTTACAGACTTCAATGACTCTGATTCTATGACTGATTCAACAGAATTCCAAGTTGCCTTTTTCACTCTCATCCAGCATATGAAGCAATGGAGACAACATCGTCCTCTTAAAAAAAATGTTAGAAAGCTAAATCAAGAATCACAATGGATGTACTATGATGGTACTAGTTCTACTTTGTGTAAATACAGATTTGCCTCAGATATTTATTTATTCATTTATTTTCCTTCCATTTATAGAATGCTGTAATTCAAACATTATTCCCAAGAATTAACATAACTAGACCTAACATTTAAAATTTCCGCAGTCAATTATGAATAAAACATCCGAAGCAAACATAGCAAACTCAACAAAGGATGCAATGATAATGAACTAATCAATGGCATATAAACACCTTCCATTAATCACACGCAACCAATTCAATGCATGCAGTATGTTGAAGGCTGAACAGGAGTCCAGATTTATAAACAAAAGATGCACATGGCTGAGGGTGGAAGAACCCTCATTCTTTTAGAATAACTCCTCAGGTGGATTACTTTCACTTTGAATCCGCATCGGATCTCAGCTGAGAGAAAAAGGATGTGGAGAGATTATGGTTAAGTACAGTACATTGCAGGTGAGGAAGAAATTTGTACTGGTCTCACGGGGATCTCTTCCAGGGACTTCTTCTACCTTATGTACAGTAGTAGCTGATCTACATTTAAGCCCAGGACTCTTCTATGGTCACATTTAGTCTATGCTAATGCTAGAGGGAATGGCCTAATTGTTGGTTCTTTGTAAATCACAGAGTCCCATTGATGCTACTCCTCACAACTATGGAACAAGCTATTCAAAGGCTTAAGACAGGTGTCCTTTCAAGATCTCTGGGATGTGTCTGGTTCCAGTGGAGATACTTTCTCCACCATGCATTCCAGAAAGTCCTTCAAAGGACCTCAAAACAGCCTAACTCCTGGAGTGCAGTTCAGTGATATCATCCAATTGAAGCAGATTCTCCACCATGCCCGTGCTCGTGGAGCTCACAAATTAGGAATAGGAAGTGATAATGATATGTTGAACAGCAAGCCTTATTTACCTAGAGACAGCTTCCAGAACAGATTAACAGTGTGGTTGGTTTAATATTCTTCTTTCCTTTAAGATGCCAATGCAGTATCAATTTTGTCCTGGATTATTTGATTTAAATAGAAGTATGAATCCCTTCAATAAATGAAGTAATTTAATAACGAGAAATAACAATTCACTGACCACCTTCCTTCAAATATAGACTCTTCTGATGTGGTAGACTTCTAAAATCCTCAACCATTGTGCCCTTTAACTAAGAATTGAAACTCGGCACATATGAAAGCCAACATGGGGAAGGGTGACCTAGAACCAATAATCTCTTCAAGAAGACATTTCTTTGAATGTTTGTTAGCCTATATTGAGATAGGCAGTTACCTCTAACTACAAAAATCAATTTCTTCTGTTGAAAGATATAACTGGACTTTTATTTATTACTTATTTATTAATTTTTCATGCCATCCATCTTCCCTACAAGGTGTCTCTGGGGGGCTTACAAGTCATTAGAAAGGCCTCAGAAAGTTACTATACCAAGCATGCCCAACAACTGTCTTTTGATCTAGTTATCAAACTTCTCTCTTTCGCCTTCTCTTCTGTTTGAAGCTGAATTAACCTCTGCAGACAAAGGAATGAAGGAATCTGTACTTTCTCATTGTAGATGTGACGCAGGCTACACTGGACAACACTGTGAAAAGAAAGACTACAGCGTTTTGTATGTGGTTCCAGGCCCAGTTCGATTTCAGTATGTCTTAATAGCAGCAGTGATTGGAACAATCCAGATTGCAATCATCTGTGTTGTCGTACTCTGCATTACAAGGTTAGTCACAGTATTGTCGTTTTATGACATTCTTCCAGAATATGACATCTCAGTGTAAAGACATAGAAAGGCCAGCATGCAGGTCTGATGTATTCTCTCCTTTGGTCTAATCCAGTGTTTCTCAACTTTGGCAAATTTTTGATGGGTGGACTTCAACTCTCAGAATTCCCCAGACAGACATGCCGGCAGAGGAATTCTGGGAATTGAAGTCCATCCATCTTAAAATTGCAAAGGTTGAGAAACAGTGGTCTAATCAATAACTAAATAGAAGCTGCCTGAAGACACTGAGAAACAATACTAATTACAGATAATCTTTTCCTGTTTTCAGTGTTTTGGATTGGCTCATGTATTACCTCTGAGTTACTTAGAACAAACTAAGAACATCAAGAAGGTTTTTTCCTCAGATGTTCAGCTTAGTACAAGGCACAAGAGGCAATCATATAAAACTGCAAAAATTCAATGTCCATTTATATCTTAGTCTTTGAATTATAAACCAACCTTCTCAGAGTCCTTTTTAAAAAATACAGTCACCTTTAAAAAATGAGTTGATTTTCATTTAGATCAGTGGGGGTTTTTTCTAAGTCATGCTCTAGGGAATCCTTGATTTCTTTTGAAATATTAATGGCTGTAACAAGCTTCATTGAAAGTCTCCTAGTCTACAAATGTACCAGTCTTTCAATACAATGTTCACTTGCCATAGGCATCCTGGCTACCTCTAGGCCGGGGTGTCAAACTCAATTTCATTGAGGGCCCCATCAGGGTTATATTTGACCTGGGGGGGGGGCATGGCCAGCTCAACATCACTCTTGTTGGGGGTACCTGTGGTGGCCTGAGTACTGAAAACAGGCTCCCAAGCTCCATTTTTGGCTCTGACGGCCTCCTGCAACCCTCTGCCAGTGAAAACGGAGCTCCATTTTCACTGGCAGAGGCACTGCAGGCCAGTCCTTTGCTGTTTCCAGGGCAGCCCCATGGGCCAGATCTAGGCACCCCGCAGGCCGGATCCAGCCCCTAGGCCTTGAGTTTGACACCTCTGCCCTAGGCAGTCTTTCTCACTTTTTGCAACTATGGACCACCCAGAAAATGCGAGAGGGCCCATCTCCCTCTAAGTTTTCATCTTTAGATGAAAGCCCTTTAGAAACATGCTTTTTGGTGAATAATAAGGAATATTGTTTTCTGCCCAGTAAAGACTGAGATTCTGTAGCAGAATCTTCTCCACCAACTGTGGTCTGATCATGAATTTTAAGGTGATCCAGAGGGCTCCATTTGTTCATGCTTTACTATAACTGACATGGCTGAGATGCTCCAGGCCCCATCCATCAAAAAATGTCATTTTGTGAAACCTGGGAGTCATGCCTTCGCTATTTTAGAACTTGCCATATGGACAGCATCTCCCCAGAAATCATGCCGTCCTTGATCTTTCTGGCCTTCACAAGATTTTGATGTTGGATGTTCTCTCACACTTCGGTTGAGAAGCTGACATAGCCCTGCTAGTGGATTAGTTTGTTCTGATTTGGATTTGGACATAGATTGAAAATGGAATGTTTTAGACTCCAACATATGTTATCTTTATTGACTATCATTATTATAAATTTATGTTCTATTTTGGTGTTCTTAATTATCCGTGTGCTGCCCTGTGTGCTCATTGTTGTGAGATTAGAAGCTAGCTAGCTAGATAGCCAGGTTAGTTTGCCAGTTAGTTAGTTAGTTAGTTAGTTAGTTAGTTAGTTAGTTAGTTAGGCTACAAAAAAAGAAAAGGGGCCACATTCTGTTGGGGGGGGCTTCTTCTAACAATCACATAAAATATATGGGGACTGTGAAGATGGAGCTGCTTTAGACAATTCAGAAACATTCCGTGTGGAGAGACGAGGATTATAATGCATAAAGATGATTTTCAAATAATAGAATGGGATTTGTTATCATTGAAACAGTTCCTCCAAATGCATTCTTCCAAATTCAAAATCTTTGAAACACTGTTGCTCTATTGATCAATAGTTAATTTTCAGTACCAAATTTCATAACAAATGTCAGATAGTTAAAATATCAGACTAGAAGTTAGGAGATGGTGAGTTCTAGTCCCACCTTAAACCAGCTGGACCAGTTCCTCCCAGCCCTGGAAAGCAGGCAATGGCAAACCACTTCCAAACAAACTTGCCAAGAAAACTGCAGGAATTTGTCCAGGCAGTGTCCAGAATTCAAAAACTGTCTTAAAAACACACACACACCTCTCAAAAAAATGTGTACAACCACTTAGGGAAGAAAAGTTTCAGTTTCTCTCAGCATCACAATTTCTTCAGGCTTTTTTCCAAACATCAGAAAGCGATTCAAGTTTCCTGCAACTATTCCTATAAATCATATGCCTTTAAAATAAAAAACCTTTTCCAACAAATGAGAAACAGGGGGAAAAAATACATAGCAGTTTCCTATAGAAAGTAAAAAGAAGCTCCACTATATCTTAAGCATCTACATCTCACGTTCAGATCAAGAAAAGATACAAAGCAATTCATAAATCCTTTCCCAACCTAAAGGCATAATAGAAAAATGTCTGCTGAATCTTGGAGAGGTTGTCTACCAAGCTACGTTCATCAATTCTTCCCTCAAGAGTAGACCCTCCCCTACTGAAAAAGGGCAATGTATTATATTAAAGTGGGCTTCAGGAAACACAAAAATAACAGCCAAAAATACAGCGTACATAAAAGGATGGAGATGAGAAAGGAACTGCTAAACTGAAAAATGGTGCTGCCTCATGTTCTTCAACTAATCTTCCTTCCAGCTTACAAATTCTGCCAGCCGTAGGGCATAAAGCAAGCTAACAGTTTGCTTAAAAGATTAAAATATATATACATATATTAGATGAACACATTTTTTTTTGGTATTTTTAGATGCCATGTTCATTAAAAACTTGCATATTGCTTTTCAAAATCACATCTACCCAAACATATTGTTGAAAGTCATTTATACATTAAAATCAAACATGAGTCCCCAAATCACAAAAATGTGCAAATGCAAACTATTGGTATTCAAGACAGTGTAGGTTTATTTAAGATGCCAACAGGATATAGGAACAAGATATTTCTTTTTTCAAGAGATAGATCTCTTCAAGCAACAACTTCCAGAAACATGCTCACAAATAATGTTTGTCTGACTTGGCCATTTGGAACGATCATATTAGAAGGTGCCATTTCTTATCAGTGCTAGTTGCCGTTCAGGAAATTCCTACCATGTTTCCCTGAAAATAAGAGCCTGTCTTATATTTTTTTGAACCCTGAAATAAGCGCTTGGCCTTATCGCCATGCACTCAAAAGCCCAATTGGACTTATTATCAGGGGATGTCTTATTTTGGGGGAAACAGGATACAGAATTTCTTACCCTGGAAATCTTACATAATGTATATTATATCATCTTGCCACTGGCATGTATTTTATTTTTCTCCTAGGAAAAAAGGAGACAGGAGGAAGAATCAGGACATAAAGCAAAATAAATAAATACTAAGATATAATGTTGGGTTATCTTATAATGTTCTGAGTGAGGACCACTTGTAGCTCCCAAACATGGCCATTGGAGTTCAACCGACTATGTCTCATAAAAGTTGCAATGTGCATTCCCATCCTTTTGAGCTAGGAAATGCATGAAAACTGTAAAAAAAAAAAATCTTTAAAATAGGATTTTCACAGTTTTTTACAAAATGAACCTGACAAAATCAGGTGACCTCCAGCACAAATGCAGCTGCCTAGGGGATTGTGAAATTAAAAATGTCCACAGGTGAACTCTAGTTGCGCTGCAAGAAATCACGTATTTTCTATTGATGTGTCCATATATTTCTGGTTTTCTTCTTGAATGTCCTTTCTACAGGGCCCTTAAATAGGATCCATGTATACAAAGCGATACATTTTAACGAGCTTTCTGCTTTTTTGACTCAGCACTTTGTTTTTATATGGCTACCCCATTCTACGCTTTCTAAACCAACTGTTAAATAAAACAGGATATCTGGAGATTTCTTTTTCTAGATCCTGTATAATAGATGGGGAAGGAGACCCAGAAGAATGGAATTAATTAATTAAAATTTAAAAACATGGGAGGAGGTGAGAAGAAATTCAGAGCTATGTTTACTACTTGACCCAAGGCTTTTTTACTAGCAGAGAAGATGGGAGACAAGGATTTGGGCAGGAAGGCAAATGATACGAGTTGTGATACAAGCCCTACCTCTTTTGTAAGTGCATCATGACAGTGAGTGTGCACACACTCACATACATATATAAGGAGCAGTGCCGCACTGCTCATTTCAACGTCCTGATGAAACAGTCATTCTGTCAACATCTCTGATAGAAGACCCCGTCTTTGTTCACCTTTCTTTTTCTCCCCTTTTGGTGCCTGGATATAAATGTGCAGACAAGTTAAGTCATTAGCTACAACAACCCCAGGATTAATATACCAATATTACAAATCTAGCTCTGTTTATTTAGAATTTAAGTCCCATTGGTCAAGATGTAACTGATGAGCTGCACAGATTCAACTATAAGCATCAGCAACTTCCCCAAACCTATTTAGACTATAATATAAATATTCATAAACTGAGTACTGAAATTGTAGAGGTTCAGATAATTAAAGAACATAAAGTTCATTTTTCTGTTGACAAAGAAAAATCAAAACAAAAACTAAAAATGCAGCATTCAAACTGAAAAAAACAATGAACATTGTAGCAAGAAGAGCGAGAGAGAGAGAGAGAGAGAAGCCCATGAATATAAAGGGCTGTTCAAATAATTCAACTTTGCAAAGGTCACCATATAGCTGCATTGCACAAGCAAAACATCCCTCCAAATCCACTTCTCCAAGCATCACAAAGGCACATCATCACAATTTAATGACTCCTCGTATAGAAAGGAGACAATCCTATCTGGATAGCACAAACCTTCTTCTGTTATGTATCGCAAAACATGTGTGACATTAAAGAAAAATATCCATATTCAATATTTCTATCAAAGTAGCAATTGTTTGGAAAGGGAATAATCTGGTAGCAAAAGCATTGTTAAAAATATTGCTAGAAAAAAAAGAGAAAACTTGAAACAAATGCATTTCAAAGCTTTTTGCTCTTGTGATAGAGTATCAACCCAACTATCATTGATCTGCTTAAAGATGTATTTTAGTTTTTTCAATGGTTTATGATAATGCATGTAGGTACTAACATCAGGAATTGAATCCATTCTTATCTGCATCAATTTATATGCCTTAAGAAATACAGACAATAAACCAAGGCATAACAGGGTTCATTGTGAATAGGTGATTTTTCTCAGCAACTTCAAATCTCTCAACTACGAAGTATACATTACCACCAAAGGTGATAATATATGCTAACCCTTAATATAACCTACAAAGGTTACAATTTATGTAGTGTAATTTTAACAGGGTGCTGCATATGTATTCTTTTCAGGATCAATTCCTGGTGTCTTCTTAAAATCAATTTAAAAGAATTTGCATGGTATACAGATTTTTAATTATATTTATTAAGTTCAAACTCCAAATCATTCTCTAAGAAGACTGTCTATTTGAGAACCTATGAGGCTTAGTATAAGCAAATATTTTTGTAAGAGAGATTCACTGAGTTTAAAGGAAGTAGATATACACAATCTAAGATTTGAAGATTTGAAGATAAGCCACAATCTAGATTTGAAGAGAAATAGATGGCCCACAATACATCTATATGAGCATGAACTACCTTGTTGGGACTTTCTTGAACTATATTCATCTTCATTTGGGATTGAATAGCAGTGATCTGAACCTATTTCTTGAAGAACATGCCCACAGGTGTTCTCTGAGCACTTTTGCATACTGAATTGTGTCTTTTCCCCATTAATGCCTATGGGGATTCTCAATCATCCAAATCATGGTTGTCCCAAAGATGCTTTTCAAAAGGGAACACAACTTTTTTTTTTTTCCGGAGAAGTCAAATGTTTTCAAGGAGGAAAAAGCTAAGGAAGTCCAGTTGCTTTTGAAAAGCACCTTTGGGTTTTCCCCTTTAAGTCCCAATCACTGCATAATCTCACCTAGTTCATATTTAAAATGTTGCTAAAGGTTATAAAAAATCCAAAAAATTTTACTACCGGTTCTGTGGGCGTGGCAAATCTCCATTCCCACCCCACTCCAGGGGAAGCATACTGCAAAATCCCCATTCCCTCCACACTCCTGGGGGAAGGATATTGCAAAATCTCCATTTCCACCCCACTCTGGAACCAGCCAGAGGTGATATTTGCCGGTTCTCTGAACTACTCAAAATTTCCGCTACCGGTTCTCCAGAACCTGTCAGAACCTGCTGGATTTCACCCTGATTATAAGTAGATGTTTTAGAGAGGTATTGGACTGAAGGAGGAGTAGGAGAAGAAAAGAAAGATCAGGACCAGCGTTTCTGCCTTTTTCAGATTTCTGAAATAAGTTATAGATCTGAGATAATAAGTACTAATTTCATAATATTAAGGAACAATTTTATTACCGTACCTAAGAATCCAGTGTCATCTTGATTTATACCCACTATCACTTGAATTCCTTATTATATGAGTTAATTGAAAATGCATAATATTAATTGAATTCATAATTAATAATTGAATAACATTTTAGATTTAGTATGCTTCAGCTTCCATTATGCTTTTACTTATATTTAGTGATTTGACCAATTAAATTTATTTTTAAAAAAATAATTAGCACATTTTTATTTATTTATTTTATGACAACAACATATTTTATTGACCCAACATCCCATTCCAACGACTCAGGGCACATATGAAGGGGAAATTCTTTGGAATATATGAAATGAAATAGCAAAGGAAGAAATTGGCAGTCTTGAAACAAAAATAGATTTTAGGGAGAACAGTAATTTTGAATGCAGCTATTCTCCCAATCCATGATAATGGAAAACGGTGCCATGACTTATGCCATTTCAATCCTTCACAGAAGAAGACTGTAATTATGTTTCTTGGGTGGTGGGATTTGATGGTTGGTCCTGATGGCATTTCAAAAGACTAGGGTCTGTGATGCACTGATAATATCTAGCTCTATTCAGAAGCCGAAAATAACGAGTGCCATACAATATTGCGCTGTAAACATGGAATACAAAATCTTCTTTTGACATCTATAATTCTTAACCTCTAAAGTTGTTATTTTATTCTTCCAGCAGAGCATCTGATGATTATAAATGTGTATAGTTTACATTGCACTGCTTGGACATTGTTACAGTTTTTATCAATTGCGGGTGGGAGAACAACCTGCTGGTTTATTATTGGCATTGGCAAATTAAAGCTAATGCGAGGATGATCTTTATTCCTCTTTCATGTTCCCCAAGCTGGCTAAAAACAAAGACAGTATGTTCTCCATGGTTTTCTGTACATCCCTTTTTTGACGGTTACAAAGCCCCTATTGCTTAAGGAAGAAATATAAACCGGGGTTGAGAAACCAGACCTTACATGCAAGCCAGGTCCTAGGAGGAATGGTTTGGCATTTCCAAGCTCCAAAATTAAAGCTGGCTCCCCAGGGTAAGCAGGAGGTTGTCTTCCTTTACTAGCTCTGTTGCTGTGCAGTCAAGAGAAGATGAGCTAGAGTGACAGGTAGAATCTCCAGTTGCCCTTAAATAGCTGCAATTCTCGGCTGTCATTTAGCAAAGCAAATTTCATGCCTTTCCCCCCTCTTTTTTCTCCTCCCTTTTCTTCCCCCCGGCTGCTTTCAGGAAATGTCCCAGGAGCAACAGAATTCACAGGCAAAAGCAAAACACAGGGCACTACAGTTCAGACAACACAACAAGAGCATCGACCAGGTTAATTTAAAAAAGAGCGCATGTTTCCACAATGGCAAAAGTAAACTGCAGAGAGCTTGGACTTACAAAATACAGTATTATAGACAAAAGTTCTACACATGTTGCCTTGCATTTGTGGTAATCGACACCAATGAAAACAGAACGAAACATGTACTACAGCTATATTTGATTATGTATGGATATATTTGAAATAGTATACATTGTCTTGATGTTTTTTCTGTAATGTAAATAAACTATTTATATCACACAATATAGTTTTTTCTTTTTCATGTATTTGTTATATATAATAAATACTCAGTGATGAGAACAAAAAAACCCTACTTTTTTTTTTGCTTTCTTAAATTTGCTGTATCCTAACCATTGCATTCTTTTTTCCAAGGTGCTTCTATTTCACAGTTACATACCTAGCTTATAAATATATACACACATATGCTCAACGCTTGATGGGCTTGTTGGTGGGGCTCCTCTCGTTAACGATTTCAAAGGTTTTTGGCATAGAGCTTCTTTTCTGATTTTTTTAGGAAGTCTCACTCCTCCCCAGCCAAATGTCCATTAAATCTCTTTCCCATTTTATGTTTGTGAAAAGACACCCATCTGGTCTCCATCCCCCAGATCTCCAACAATCTGCCACTAATCTTCCCATCATCCAGCCCTGCCCTGTTCTTCCCAACATTCAGCCCCGTCTTCCTACAGCACACTGTCAAACTTCGTAGTGCTTCCTTCCCCTCCCGTCAGCCTGCCCACCCCCCTCAGCCTTCCCAGTTTATCAGATTTTCATTTGAAAATGAGTATGGGGGGGGTTGGACAGCAGTCATCTTTTTAACATCTTCTCACACCCCCTGGATTTCCCTCATGACCCCTACTTGGAAACCCTTACCTTAAGGCTTCTTCTTCTTTTCTTTTTTTTAATCCTTTCCAACCCAATGGAATATTGGAAGTAATTTATGTGCAGGAGCTCAGGACTTCCAACTCTCTGTCCATCAACAGGGCAACATTCCAAAAATGAAACAGAACGTGGGAGAAGCCAACAAAAGAAAAATCAAGTCTGAAAATAGCTTGGATCTGGCCACAGGCTGGAGAGAAAAATGTACTATAAATGTGCTCCCCTTCCCATGCATCCTTTTGAGAGAAATAGATGGGGCATGGCTCAGAATATTGGTGTCTCCTCCATTCTAGCCACCCACAACCCCTTCCTTCTTGATTATGTGAGCTTTTCAAATACCGTGACTTTCCCCAAACAGAAATCCTCCATTTCTTAATCAGAACCGGAGGGAAGGGGACAGCAATTTAGTCAATCATAGGAATGCCCCGTTCAACTTGAGTACTTTGCTGCAGGTGCCCTCTGCAGTAGTCTTAATTCAATATCTAATTAGTCTGTCAAAATTACTCTGCTTAAGTTTTAGGCACAAATAAAATTGTTTGCCTTCACTTCTCCATCCCTCACACCCTGTGTTTTGATTCAAAGTTCTTGCTGCCCATTTCTTCATTGGGCTGCTGCTGTTTAGTTACCACCTGTTCTTTATTTATTCATTAGAAGCATATCCTGCCTTTCTTCAATGCTAACAGCAAAGTACATGGTGCTCTCCATTCCGCCTCCCCCCCCTCAATAACACTAGAGGAGGAAAGATTGCAGAGAAATAATAAATGGCTCAAAGCCACCCAGGAAGCTCCCATTGGGGAGCATGGAACTGACCTTCAAAAGCAAAGAAACGTACATAGAATGGATAGCAAGTGGCAGGATTTGCCTATTCACAAAAACACTGCTATCAAATACCTATTTCTTCAAAGTCAAAACAGGTGAAATATCTCCCTACCATCCCATCAAGTACCCCAGGTTGCTTTTTGCTAAAGAATGCTCATACTTCCAAACAGATGCCATCCACCATTTTGTTTGCAAATAAAGCCAACATGAGGACTGTCTTTTTGTAAAAAAAAAAAAAAAAAAAGGTATGCATGCCAATTTCTCATTTGTGTACTTATTTATAGTTCAATTAATTTTGAATTGAAGAGTGGTTGCTGAGGGTTGTTCCAGATATCCTGCCTATCAGGGCTTTAAAAAGAAAGGGAACTTTATTTTGACTCAGGCTCCCCTCTTGGCTGAGGGGGTGGGCATGCTGATGGGAGAGAAGGAAGCACTACAAGAAGAACATTGAATGATTGCTGTTGCTTTCTGGGTTCTTCTCATTAGAATCTACATTGTTCTATACACACAGAGAAAAACTAAAATAGTAGAATTTATTTCATCTCCTATACTGAGCTTCTGAATATTAATGTTCATTTTTACAGCTGCGACCAACAAAAGATGCATTTACTGTCAAGAGTCAAAGCAAGGTATTTAGTAGCCTTGCTGATGTAGGATAAGAGAAGAAACAACCTTTAATCATTTTGATTTCAAAGGAGCTTTTGAGGTCTTTTGAAGACAAACCTTTTTTCCTGAGATCTATTTGAATTTTTTTTAAAAAAAACCAGAGGTAAGGAGATTTCTCCCAAGTCTCCTTTTATCCAGTCCTGTGTCTCTACGTTAAACTAAGCAGAAACCTACAGGTAAAAACTGAACTGTATGAAGGCTGTTGCTGGATTGAAAACAATCAGAACTGGTGATTTGGCACACCGTCAAAATAGCACATCACTTTTGTGGCATTCAGATAAGATGTTCCCATTGCAGTCCAGAGAAGATATGGATGGTATATTCAATCCTTGGGCTATGCTTGGCATGCAGCGCAACAGTGGCCCCTAGCTTTCACTGAGCTGAGAATTTGATGTCAAGAGGCACCTTTGGATAGAGTCTATATGACAGAAATGAAAATAGTCCCCATCATTGCAAGAGACATAAGATGAGATTTTGACCTAAACAACAGAGGATTCAAACTAGTTTCATTTTGGAATTGGATAAGAACATTAAGAGCTGATTTCAGAGTGGTTTCCTTCATTTGGTTCATGGCATTTCTAAAAAATTGTAAGAAAATGAAACTAAGTTGTAGTTATTGAACATGCTCAATTCAGATCAGTAATAATTTGATTTGCTCCATTTGGGAGGGGGGATGCACATTTTTCTCTAAAGTAACAAAAAGCAGTTGAATTTTGCTTTTTTTTTTTTTTTTTGGTCTTATTTAATGGTCAGGTTTAATAAAAGTGTCTATGACCAAAAAAAAAGAAAACCACCACCTTAAATTGTCAAGTTTTATCTATTCTAGTTTCAGGTTTTCATCACTAATGGAATATTGCAAATTTAAAAAATCAATAGTAGTATTTCAGTTCCCTGTTGATACATGAATATGTAAAAGTGACTCAATTAGCTCTTGATTGCAATATGTGCAGGTGGACCATAGATGAATGTATATTGGATAAAGTATAGGGTAATGGCACCTATTTGGAAGGTAAGATGTTTCTATAAAAATATTAATTTCTATAGAAATATCATGTCCATGAGAAAGAAAATGTGTGCATTATAGCAGCATAGTGACAGAAGTAACATTCTTCGTAATAGCTGAATCTATTACTGATGCTCCACATATAATATGTATGTGTGTATATATCAGTGGTGGGTTCGGCCTGCTTCGGCCGAGCCAGTAGCAGTGACGATATGACATCACCGAACCGGTTCTCTTTGTTCGGGAGCTGGGCCCTCCCGCCCCGCCCGCATTATTCTTACCTTTTATTTGGCCCCGCCCCCAATTTATTCGCTGCCTCCCGAGTCCCAGCTGATCAGCTAGAAAGAAAAAAACTGTTTAAACTCTTGCTGCGGGGCTTCAAAGGGCCGCCCTACAGCTGATCAAGAACATTTGCTCCAAGAGCAAATGGGTAGACTGGTACAGCTCTGCAAGCAGTTAAAAGCTTGGTAGACCAGTACCACTGCTAAATCCTAAAGAATTGTCACATGACCATCAAACCACACCCACAAAATAAGCCACACCCACAGAACCGGTAGTAAAAAAAATTAGAACCCACCCCTGATATGTATATGTGGAGAGGGAGGGAGGGAGGGAAAGAGAGAGAGGGAAAATATATTTCCTGGAGACTCATTTGTTTGTTTGCTTATCAAATTTATTGACTGCCCATCTTACCATAAGATACCTGTGGGCGGTTAACAATATTAAAAATATCACAAAACCTATACACAATACCAGCTAGATAATATAAAATATAAATACTCAACCCTAACTCTCATATCCTCCCATATACGATATGATATGCTAGTGAGAAAAGGCACAGCCCTTATGAACTTATGACACAGTGGACTTTTTGGCCATCTTGCAAGACCCAAGCTAATTAATTTGGCAAGTTAATTGCTCAATTATAACTCTAAAAGAAATGCTTTGCAGCAATTTTAGGGAGCTACAGGGCAAGCAACTCCCATTTCCTCTTTCCTGCCTTCTGGGATTTCTCTAACTGTTGGCATGCTCCAAGCCATCCAACCCTCTCGGCCTTTCCTGCCAAACAGAGTAGCCATTTTGCTTTCCCTTCAAAATAAGCCATTTTCTTTTTCTTTCTTTCTTTTTTTCATTCTTCTCTTACTGTGAAAATACAGTCAGTTGGAGATTGCAGCATTGGCTGGCTGGAGGAACATCAGTGAGCCTAAGGGGAAGAAGGAGAGGATAGCTTCAGGGCAGTTATTAAAAATTGGGAGACAATAACTACCTCAACAGCAGCAGCCAGAACAACAATATAGCCAAACATGCACAGTTGAGAATTAATTAGATTAGCAAATTCTGTTTTCTGGTGGGCAGCATTGCCAGACATGGCTTCTCCTTACTTTCTTCCTAGGGCTGAGAGAACATGAGCAGGTTCCATATATGTGTGTGTATGTATGTATGTATATGTGTGTGTGTGTATACACACATACATACACATACACACACATACACATACACACACACATATACACACATATATATATATGAACCTATTTTTTCCTAATCATCATCTTATGACTATACACACACACACACACATATTTCATTTCTTAAGAAAGCCAAGAAGTCAGATTTGTGAGATATATCAATCAGTCTACCTGAAACCTTCATACGTTTTAATAAAATAATGCAATTGTTAGCTAATATAAACTTACTTCAGAAAAAAAAAACCAGGGAAATAAAGTTCATTATTTTTTCTTTCATCGGTTTGCTTGTAGCTATAGATTGTATAAGCTACATGTAAAAATTATTACTGGGACGTTGCCAGTTTAATCATTTGTAAAGGAGTGAGCACTTCAAATATATTTTATTACATATTAAAATGTTTTTTAACAATATTTTATTATACTCATTCCATGTCCCTCTAACCTGAACTCGGTAAATTGGGAAAAGTTTAAAATTC